AGTGTGAAGAAATGATGCTCATTTGAATATTTTTACTTCTCTGAAAAAAGGAAAGGAGAAAAAAAATGTTTTCCAAATATCATGGGAGTTGTTCTCTTCAAAACTGAGGAATGTTTGGTGTGTTATATATATGTTGAGGAAATTCAGATTTGTTCCATATAGCAGTGTTAACTTCTAGATGACTTTAACATACATGACAGACTGTGTATTAAACTGATCTTAATTTCTGTAGATACCAATATACTTTTGGTTTGGGGCCTTTGACTTTGTACCAGAGGGTACATATATATTCTATTTGTGAGATTGTCTTGACAAGGAGTATATCATTAATGTATTTGTATTGCAGGACATTGGTTCTAAACATCCAGTGTTAATTCTCAGAAGTTATTTCTCTGAATATATTAGCATGTTCCTGGACAACTCCTAAGATAATGTAATGGTTAAATTAAATGATGCCTGTCATAAAGACGAGGACATAATGTTTACTCAGTTCGAGCACTGGCCTATATAACCTTAGGTGAAGATCCAAGGTTTGTGGTTCAATTCAAAATCTCTACCTGTAGGGGTTTGTATTTCTCTTAAGCTGAGAAAAGTAACAGTCTGCACTGCCTGGTTGTATCCGTAGGCTGGACATTTTACTCTTATTCCTCTTGATGGCATGCAAGCGGTTTTCCATGTGTTCAGGGAAGGGACACCACCTCAGAATGACCTGGGTTGTTCACAGGGTGATAAACTCAATGAACAGAACAAAAAATCATTAACAAGAGTTTTTAATTAGACAAATGGTAGCAGTATAACAAGGTTTTAATGGAGGAATGCTGGAAGTATAACAAGGTTTAATGGACAAATGGTTACAGTATGATAAGGTTTTAATGGACGAATGGTGGTAATGTAACAAGGTTTAACAGACAAATGGTGACAGCATGATAAGGTTTTAATGGACAAATGGTGGTAGTATAACAAAGTTTAATGGACACAATGGTATATTGTGGCAGTGTAACAGATTTCTATAGGACATGCAGTCTTTTTTTGTTGCTCAGTTTGAACTTGCTTGGATAAATAGTTGAAATGGAGACAATTTAACTGAATGGATAATTGACCCCATGTCATAAGCTGTCACCACCAAAGCACTTGTTATTCTAGAAAAATAACACAAGTCTATAAATTATGAATTTATTTCTTTCTAAAAGCAGATTTTTAATATCAGAAATTTAAACCAATGGGTTTTGTGTTAAATAATTAAATCTTGTATACATTTATTGGAGTTAACAGGACTGTGGCTTGTTTTTAACAAGGATAGGTGTGGTATTGTCTGATGTGTATACAGTGCATTAGTACAACAATGATGGCTTTGTCATTCAAATCACAAACAAACCACAACATTTCATTGCTATGATAAATAATGTTATTTAAAATCTTCTTTCATTTCATATATCATAAATCTTAATCTGAGGCCGTCTTTTGGATTTTATGAGTAAAAGACACAATGAAATTAATGCAGTATAAAGTTTTGTTTTTTTCTGCGTGCATTTAACTTAATTGGGTATATCAGTGTTTGAATATGATAAATGTATGCATCTGCAAATCTGATAATATGTCAGTAAGGTTTTGTTAACATTAGATGTAATGAACAGTTCCTGGTTAGAACAGGGAGGACATAATTATTATTATCAAAATATGGAGTAACTTTTTAATCAGTTTGTACTTAGGGGTAATGAATCTTGTTCCCTTCTTGAATCCTCCCTCATGGAATAACACATGTTTCTGTAGGTAGCGCCTGTTCTGTTTAGAAGATATATTATTATAGATCTGTGCATTTCCATAAGGTTTAGGATCACATTAGCTGATTGTGTACATTCGGATGTATATACAGGAAGTCCAATTAGTTATCGTGCACCGACACACCCCAAGTGACTGCGGACACCGTCCCTCTGATACACACTCATAAATATACTTATGAATGTCATAAACTGGTGCGAATATCCACTTGTAAATCCTTGATGTTTGGTAACATTTTATCGGGAGTATAAGTCAATATCAGTGTCAACTTAATTCTTTAGGTGTAAGATTTGTAATCATTAAGATTTTACATAAAAGTATTGGAATTAAGAAAATCAAATACATATCATGTATATTTTCAAAATTTGAGAAATCCTCAAATACAAGTCAAAATGACAAAAAGGTACATGACTACTCTGTACACTAAGTTATGGATGCTGGCATGTCCCCAGCTGTGGTTTTATACTGTGCTTGGGTAAAGATGTTGAATTAATAAATATAAATTGACAGGTTTGAATATCTGGCATCGGCATTGAAGTTCATTATTAGCAATAAGTCTGTACAGGTCTAGAAACAGGAGGGAATGTAGCGCCCTTAAGGACTGGTATTAAATGTGGAAAATCTATAAATTGTTTTGATTCATGTATAAGTCTTTGTGGACTATAATACTGGCCAGTGTTATAATTTACTTTGTGTTATCGGATGTTGTGTTGATAGCTATAATCAGAAAGAATTAAATTTGTCATTTCATCCGTCAACGATATATTTCCTACCAAGCCTTGGACTGGCCACACAATGGCCGACCTTTTCAAGTCACATGCAGAGCTTCAGTCTGATTGATACAGTTACATTGGTAAAAATGACATTTTAATCAATAAATACCACAATTACTAGCAGTATCTGTTTATTCAGCTTTTATTGAAGGAGAAATGTGGTGTTTGGATCAATTGACAAAGACTGGTGGCAATATGATTTTATTAGATTTTGATTCCCAAACTTTTAATATCACTGATATCATTTATATGTGCGGTCAATGGCAGGAATTTTTCATTATTTGTCATACATGATCTGGTGATTATGAAGGCTATTTGTTATTTTTGAATATTATTGTATTTAAAACTGTGTAAACAGAGATTAAGTGCAAGAGGCACAAAAGAAATTAATCATTGCAAAAAAGAGTTGATCATTGATTAGAATTGTATCTATTATAAATGATACTCAGTCTTAATGTATTGGGTCCAGTTTCAGTGATTTAAAAGGACTGTTTGATTTACTTTTCAATTTGAACTTGAAGTTTTATTCAGATATTATCAATAGTCAGAGTTTACTATTCAGATATAAATTATGGATTACCTGTAGCAAAACATTGTCAGGCAAAATAATTGTAAGAATAGGAAGTAACACATCGTTCTGCTGGAATCATTTCCATTTTCAAGGGTACACAAACAACACCGTACATTTCAACATAAAAAGTAAAAAATTTGAGGTTTTCATTGGAAGGACACTTGTAACGGATTTTTTTCAAAGATAATATTGATATGTCATAAATAGCTTTGTGTGAAAGTGAATTAGATTCTTGTGCTGGTGCTTTTTATTTCTTTCAATTGATTGCATAAATTGGAAAAGCTGTTTGTTGTCAAGAACAGTACGTCACCACCATATCCGCAGAAATCGTACAGTAAAATCTATTTCCTGTCTCTTGCGGTTTCTTCCGATACTGTCAACGATTTAATTGTGATCACACAAGTCCTTTCATCACTTGGCGTGCTTTCCCCTGATTGTCTACCTGATGTCCAAATAGCAACATTGTTTTCTTCATACAAGAAAAGCGTTTGTATTTCTATATTAGGACCTTTCCAAGTTTTTTACGAACAAAAGCATGTAATCTTCGGTATGATATTTGAAGTGGGTCACACCGAATGGAGGAGTATTCCAAGTGCTTGATGTATTATAGTACTTGAGAAATAATAGAAAAAACATTGACAGTTTTCAGTTGAGATTTCCTAGTCAGGAGGAGATGCTATCTAGGACAGGAGAGCGTTGATACAGGGTTTCTTTAGCTATAATCAACTCAAAAACAAAATTACCACCAAATCTGTACTTTAAGAGATAAATCCAGTTGTGAATTTCTGATGCTAGTTTGTAAACAGTTTTGATTCCATTTATCTTCCATTCAATTGGTATTTGAACAAGTAGATTGCATAATGATAGAAATTACAACAGGAGTGAATAGATTATCTGAAATTTGAAAGATTAAGTCAAACGTATGAAATTGAAGTGATGAAATAGCGCCGTCTTGAATCTTCAGCCTTATAAGATTTCTATGTTGAAGTGTACATTTTTTCCACAGCAAATTCCCCAATCACTTAAATTTACTTGTCATTTTATTGGCTTATATCTCATTCAAAGAAGAAGCTTATATTGTTTTATTATTTTTCACCAAAAGTGCTTGATAGTTTACATGTTAAGAAACCAGACCAGTACCTTTCAAGTGTCTTTATTTTCAACTGAGTGTTACTTATCTGAGAAGCTGTATTCGTGTTTATTGTTACACAAGAGGTTATGCTTTCATGTGTTTCATTTAGAGTTATCTTCCCATTGTGTTACTTTTACCAATCAGAATCTCAGTATGATTATTTAATTTACCATTTTGAGAAAGTGATAAGAAAAGAGAATAGGTGGCGCCATTTTCTAATAAGCTAGCTGCAAGATTTGATACACAACTTTCAAATAGACAGAGATAAATATTAAATATTAAGTCAACAATGCAATAAATAGATGTTTCTAGACTAATATCTATTCCAATACCAAAGAACACGGTGGTATCTGGTGCGTCAATGACTTTATAATAACCTGTGGTGTCAGCAGTAAGAAGGAAGTGATTAATACTCCACATATACACTATCAGAATGATAATCCAGCAGACATATTATAGGATATTAAAAAACACATAACATTATATTGCCTTATAGTTATCAATTTTGTACTTTATAGATATCTTCAAGTATATTAGCTTTATGAAAGGTTTGTTGATGACAGAGTTATTGACACATTTTTCTAACTGATGAGAATAATGATTCCCTCTTAATTATTTGATAAAATATATATAATGAGATTCCCTAACATTATCTTTCAAGAAAAGAATATTATAGCTATCTTCATTTTCAGTGTATGTTTGTTGTTTTTGTCTCAGTATTTGACTGGTTTTTAATTTTCACTAGGTCTTTCAAATTTACTTACAGACCGGAAGTCTTTATTCAACGGATTTGCCCACCATCCCTATGCCATGGGACCACTGCCATTTATGCCCCTGAACCATCCCATGATTTCTCCACCAACCTCAATTGCTATGGCAACCCATCTTGGCCTTCGACCTGATGGTTCCATTATCAAGGACAGGTCAAGTTCGGAATCTGACCTCATGTCACCAAGGTAACTGATTTATATTCCTGTATCAAACAACACAAGTTGAGACAAGAGAAACATGTTGTAATGAGATAAAACGAATTATAGATTTGTATGTCAAATGTTTGTGATGTACAAAATATACTTGTGAAATGCTATCAGGTGTGGGACGAGTTTGAATCAGTCGTTTATTGCCAAGAAGGCGAGACATAACCGGCCAATCTGTATGTACAAGCAGTTTGTGGATATGCTGTTAATTTACTGCATAATGTTTATAGTTTGTAGAGATAGAATTGGCTAAATTTGAAATGACTGATAAGACCAGGCTGATAAACCAGGCTGTACAGTCCTGTGTTATCAATAAATATTCAATTAGAGTTATCATGGTTATTAAAGGAATGTTTCTAGTGCAAGCTAATGTTTATTTTGAAGTGATCGTGTTCCGGGATAACACTTTACAGGTTCGCTTGGTGTAACAATCACAAAAATTGTCAAACTATTTCTGATAATCAGAAATGAAATGTAATTGAAATACAAGATGAGGATATGGAGATGAGAATTTATTGGAATACAGTGTAGTTTTTTTACCTGGATATTGATGTAAAACCTGATTCAATATGAAGTTGATAAGTTGACCGTTGTCGTCATTAGTGAGTTGGTATTTCAGATTGCCCCGATTGGGCCTCATTCGAAGTTCTGTATCATTTTGCCATTTCCATAACGTACCGATTTACATCATGCCATGCACTAGGTACAAGAAATACAGAACCAGTAATTATCTCTTCTGATATACTCATGGCAGCAATGGCCAAAAAAAGAAGTTCTGAAATATTAAAAGTAACATCATTAGATCAGTTATAGAACTAGGTCAAAATTGGATTTGCAATCATATGAATCACAAATCAATAGACCGTGTTGTATTGCTGATGGGTTCATAATGTCAGCTAAAAATTTACATGGATATTCGGTGTAGGATTATCAGAAAAAAGTCAAGATATACTCTTCAAACAATTTTTATATAGAAATAAAATATTTGATTTGAAATTGAAATAAACTTTGAGATAAATAAAAATAGTTATGGAGATGAACAAAACCTTAGCTTTTTCTGACTGGTTATGTGACATTTCTCCGTCTTAACATCAAGCAAATTGGTCTGTTTTATACCTTTTTTTCCCAAATTGAGCTTTTATTCATTGGAAATAATGCTGTCATACTCGTATTGTCTATTGCCGGGAACAAAGTGTCTATTAGGCCGACTCCAACATTATGTTATTTATACGGTTTCCTCAAACTTTGTTCTGTCAATGGATATTAAGACATTGTGATATAGGATGTCTAGAATGCTCTGTTCCTTAGCATGACAAACTTGGACAATAGGATTTGTTTATGTTCCTTGGGTAGTGATATAAGTCAAGTAAGTAGCAGTGTCTGTTAACCTCTATGGCCCAGGCGACGCAAGCAATAAAAGCTCGCCAGTAAATACCACTGTCTCTCCTTCAGACAATGCATACAGTTTTCAGATTGTCTAAATTGCACATGGGTTTCCAGTAATACCTTACATTGGGACCAACACATGCTAAGTTCTTCTGTCTAAAATCCTTCCATTTTGGCAAATATGCTTTTAAAACTCAAAACCGTGTATTTATCGGAAAAGCTTTTGTCTGAGGCAAAATTACCATGTCTTTGAGTCGGATTTTCTCTCCGATTTCCATGATACGTACAAAGAAACTGATATAATTTCCCCAATTGCTGTTAAAAGCCTCGATATCCTATTGATTGCGTATGGTGTACTGTTTGACCTATTCAGATGTAGAAATCTTCTCTGCCACTAGGCGTGTTTTCTATTAAGAATTTTTCTTCCTTCATCTTCCAAGGTATAAGATACAAATTAATGCCTACACCACTCTATCCATTTCCGATGTTTCTCCTTTTTAAGCTGTTAAGGATTCCATTTCTGGATATATTCTGTGCCTTAATAACCGTGTTGCGGACATAGCAGCCTTTTATGCCACCTGCTAGCCAGCAATCTCTAGTAAGCCAATTTTTTTGGCGTGTGTGTGTTTTTTTTTTAAATTGTCTTACAACTATAGGTTAGAAAGATTTTTATTACACAGCATCATAATTCTTGGTTTGAGATTCCGTTTTTGTTGTTATGTATTCTGTCTGTTTCCAAGGACATGGATTTCATGTAGTTAAGTGTAGAGAACTCTTTCCATGTGCTCTTGTTGACCATAGATGTAATTTGTGGATGTTGTACACAAAGCAATTGCAGGTTTTAGCTGTTTCACTTGCTAGATTCTATCTCTGATTCCCACTTATATCGGAAAGCCTCTAATTCTCAATGTGCTCACCAATAATCACAACAATCTGGGTGGTCACATTTTCACATACCAGGAAATTCCATTTTCTTGTCAATTTTCCTGTTTTAAACAGTTTTATAATATCATGCCTTCCTGCAAATTAAATTTTCTGTACATAATTTGGGTGAGGTGTATGTGACCTATCGGGCATATATGGTAAGTATAATGATAGACATTAGACAGATGGATTGGGTGTCATGTTGAAATTGTTAACTTGCAGAATGTGTTTTATTATTAGTGGAGCACCTGGGTTGGATTTGTGTATAAAATGGAGTCTGATATACATATCAGTAGGCAGGGGATGAATCTTTTTTAGACCTAGCATGTCACTCAAATTTTCTTATGCTGAAACTTAAAGTACACCTGTATAGAAGTTTTTTTTTAATAAAGAAAGAAAGTGATGTTCATTTCAAATTTTGCTTATATCTATAGGTCAGGTATGAATCTACAAACAATAAATTTTCTATAAAACCAACTGTGATTCTCGACAGAACTTTATGAAAAATAGATGATCTTGGGATGATACACAAACTTGGATCATAAACTTTTGATATCTTTCAAACGTAAGGAATGTTGTAGGTTCATTTGACTTTTATGCCATTGTTTTTATTTCATTTTCTACTTTATATTACTTCAAAGATACGATTAGGAGTGATGGAGCTAATTCCATGGTTATTGGGGGCAGGAGCACCATATTCCATGACCTTGAAAGTATAATGTACTGTGTCTGTTCAAGTAGGTTCAGGTCACTATTGAAAGGAATCATAATTTCCCAGGAAATAAAAAAATCTTAAACTCATAGAACATGGTCACTTGGGTCATTTTTGGGGATGAAAAAAAGTTGAAACAGATGTATATATGAACTTTACTTTGAAATTAATCTGTAAGCTGTTCATTTTGAACATCAAAAAGTTTAAGATTTTCTCAGCCACCTGACAGCAGGTTACAGAATTATCCTTAGAAATGGTGGAAAGACTTATATGTACTTTAGGAATTATCCATTTGGATGACAACTTTACCATCTTATGATGGCAGATCTTCAAAGACTTGTTCGTTACTTATCTCCCTTTAATCTGCCATTGTTAGTCCCGAGGGGCCCTTCATGACCAGATCATTTGGTGCAATTCAACAATCTGCAGATATAATGGCAGATGTAAAGAAGCAGAGTTTTAGAGGATTTCAAATTTGATAAGTTTTTTTTTCTGTTCCATGACTGGCTGTTGGATATGAGATATAATTAAATCTGACAGGCCATAAGGTTAACATATAGTCTAATGCTTGTGTGAAAAGATGCTTTCCTTCTTGTATAAAAGACAGCTTGACTTGAATGATGGCTGCCATATATACAGGAAATCAGCATTCTGTTTCATAACCAACATTTGTATTTGCTTTAGATGGCAGATTGTTCTGAATAAAATCCTCCTACTTCAGAGGCATAATTTCCATTTCCAAATAAAACATTTCAATAAAATAGCATTTCATTGCTCTGTTTCTTCAGATATCAGTTGTATAATGCTTTCATATCTGTGTGGATAGCATCAACAGTGAAAATTCCAGCTTTCAAGAAATAATTAGATTGTGCTATTAATGACAAGTCTACCGAGAGGAAGACTTCAGATATGGGGATGTGTTAGCCTTTTGTAAAAGCTGTGAAAATTTAGGTTCTTCCCTAATGTCAAAATTACGCTATTTTCTCTTTGATGAAAATTGATCCTCGGATGGCAGTGTTGTTTTATTGAATCATATTATATATAAGCCATGTCCAAATGAAAGGGAATTTTTGTGTGGAAATGATATATCTTCAAATGTCTAATGAATTAGGGGTTTTAGGTCTGTTTTGTTCATTCAGGAAATTGGAATTGAGAAGAGTGTAGAGAACAAGGATATGATGGTATTAATAGCTGTAATTAACAGATGAGGAGAGATAATATCCTTTGGGATTCATACAAAGATCTTGAGTCCAGATGTCTTTCATCAAAATGTAAAATATATTTAATTTGGCTTTTCTGATATTTACAGTAGGATCATCAGCGTGCACTCACAATGTTCACTTTTAGTCTAACGTTACCCCACATATATCAAAAACAGCCTCTATATCAAACAATTTTATTATCATATTCATCGACTTTTTATATCTAGCTCGTACTTAGAGATAATGTCAATTTCAAAAGTACAAAACATTCTGTAAAATTACCCCAAAACACATGTTGGTGAATTCAGTCCTTATCTAGTATTGCTTTGTCGTGTTAGACTAGCTTTGTTCTGTTTTAATGTTGATGCTAAGTTCTCCTGGCAGCTGATGTTGTTTTTTTTTTCATGAAAAGATCCCCAAAACTTTGAATATTTACAACATTAATCTTCTCTAAAGATTTCTAAAGTCCAATATGATGTATAGTTTTAATGTTTAGACTTAATAGTACAAAGCATTTAGATAACGTTACTGTATACCTACCTACCTATCAATATTTCATACTTAACATTTTTTCACCACATATTTCTGAGATATATTGTATCTGATATATTGGAGCAAATTTTCGTAGGGTTTCTTTCAATAGATAAAAAGAAATCTCAGACAGAAGGTTACTTTGGAAGTAATTTTGATAAAAGTTGATGAATAATTCCATGATGGGAGTCAATATTTTCAAGATTTTCTTTTAAAATCATGGAATATATTTTAACATATTAAAATTTTGTGCAATCTTGATGAAAAAGGACATCTAATAGATAATTCTAAAAATCAAAGCCTTACATACATTACATTGTTGACCAATCGGGTAAAATGAACATGCTTAACAAAACATGAGAAAGATTGGATGTAAGCGTAAAAATTTCAACAGTCATGTACAAGGATGAATGATCCTAACACATTAACACTCTGGTAAACTTGTGTTTATAAAATATTAGTTGAGGAAAATTGTAATTTTTACAATGTGACTGATTATAAATGTTGAGCAGCATTAATTGCATATTGAGTGGTTGGTTGGCTGGCATAGTGGTAAAGCACTTGCCTGTTGCCAAGATGTCTGGGGTTCGATTCTCTGAACAGACATGTAAAGGTAAAAGGTCACTTGCCCGATCCCGTGGGTTTCGTCTGGGTACTCCTATTTCCTCTTATAGTAAAACCCCTTTTTCTCACTTCAATCAGGGTGAATATAAGTTGGATAACTTGTTTTGCAATTGTTGTAACATAAATAATGTTTTCCTTAACTTTCGAGCGGCATTGTAATTTTCACATGATTTCATTAATTATATTCCTTTAATTACATATTGCTGTCTGAATACTTTTATCAAAGGGAGGCCACTCTGTTAATGATAACATACCCTACAGAACTTGGCCGCCATTCATAATTAGCACATAGCAATGCATGCTAAACAGTCATTGGAGAACAACATCACAAAATCTGTTTTATTAGATGAAAGGATTGCTAACGACTCGTTGCGACACATTTGTGAGGAGAAAGTCAACCTCCACAATGCTGCATGGGACGTCTTTTTATCTGTAATGACCAATTTTTTGGCATTGCTACTAACACTGAACACAACATTTGTACACAACTCATTTCTACCCTCTTGGAATTTAAGCAGAAATATTAATTAGGCATCTTGACTCTAAAATATTTTTGAATGGCATTGCCAAGTAATGAAAGTCAGAGCAAAAAAGCAAGCAGAATTGTATGATCTTTGAGATATGTTTTGGATGTGCTCTCATGAAAATATTAGGCTTTTTTTGCTGGATGCCATTAATACATACAACCAAAGAAAGCCAAGTTTTGTGATGTTAAACGCAATGTTGAGTAGCTGTATTTTACACCCAGAATAACTGGGTGTGCATTTCACTTTAATTCTTATTGGAATCAGATTGCGATAAAGGAAAATATTGTGTTTATACATCTTCTCATTAGTCGCTTACCATTTTAATGAAACGTTGAGAATCTCACATGAAGAGGCAGTTGTGCCTTTCCACTGTAGACTTTGTTTGATGGCGCTGTATAAAGAACTCATTGATGTTCGTATGTTTGTGGGGATTTCTGCTTTCCTTTTCTTGGTTTGATGATGAAAGTTTCTGGTTTCCTCTTGTCATTCTCCTGATTTTTTTATCTTGTGGAAAATGGAGTTGTGTCTAATGTCGTAAAAATTAATCAAAAGGAATTTGTACATTAAAAGAAACAGAAACGTACAATATTGAAATAAGGTTTTTTCACCAAGAGGGTGGTGGTTTTCATTAATACTTCTAAAAACATGTTGATCTAGTTAAGAATTTGTAACCTTTTGTAATATGATTCGTTATGGAGAGATTTGGCAGGTGTTGAGTGGTTGTAATTGGTGTATTTACTGATGTTGTACTGGGGTTCATAGTACTGTTAATTGTTTTGAACTCTTTTAAATGTTCTTTTTTTTTAATATTACAAAGCAAACGGTAATGAATCATGATATTGCTGCTTTTAATGTAACCTTGATAAAAGTTATGGAAAACCAATCGGGATCAATATTCTAATATTAGTTAGAGTTAGATTTCACCATACATCTGCTTGCATTAGCATGATCTACACATATACACGTAAAATGGAACAACTCATTGTATTTTATGTATCCTTATCATCATCTTACATAGAATTAAAACTACAGTATCTACGATCTTCCTAGTTTTGTTACCATGGCAACTCAAATGCTGTACCAAATGTCGGATAAATCAAATATCATACAAGGGAGGTTACATTTTATTAGGTAGAAATAAACATGTTTTTACACGTGTTTTACCTGCTTAACACCATGAAATAATATCTGTTTAACCATTGTAATGCCTTGTAATAATACAGGTTTTACTTGTGTAACATCTTGTAATAGTATCTGTTTTTACCTGTATAACATCTTGTAATAGTATCTGTTTTACCTGTATAACATCTTGTAATAGTATCTGTTGTACCTGTATAACATCTTGTAATTACATCTGTGTCACCTGTATAACATCTTGTAATAGTATCTGTTTTTACCTGTATAACATCTTGTAATAGTATCTGTTTTTACCTGTATAACATCTTGTAATAGTATCTGTTTTTACCTGTATAACATCTTGTAATAGTATCTGTTTTACCTGTATAACATCTTGTAATAGTATCTGTTTTACCTGTATAACATCTTGTAATAGTATCTGTTTTACCTGTATAACATCTTGTAATAGTATCTGTTTTTACCTGTATAACATCTTGTAATAGTATCTGTTTTTACCTGTATAACATCTTGTAATAGTATCTGTTTTTACCTGTATAACATCTTGTAATTACATCTGTGTCACCTGTATAACATCTTGTAATTACATCTGTGTCACCTGTATAACACCTTGTAATTACATCATAGTAACCTGTTTAGCAATTGGTAATTACCTATTTTACTGACAGATCTAGAGATGAACGTCTGGAAGCTGCCATGAAGATGGGTCGTGTGTCTCCTCACTATGACTCGGAGAGATTGCACCGCACCTCGGAATATGACAGTAAGTCTTTCTTTATAACATCTTATCCATAATGCTATTCATTCAGTTGTCTCCTATATACTTCTCCCTACTTTTTTGTCATGTCTATGTATAAAACTGCTTGGAAACTTAAGTCATTAGACCCTTGGACTAATAAACTTGAGATGAAGATCTGAGGTGATTGGTGTAATCTCTATCTCAGGCAGTTACAATGTATCACAGACAGTCCTTTACTGTCATAGCTGTGTCCTTGGTCAAGACACTTTACTTTACCCTTACTTTATTTTATTGACTGAATGGAACGTGATGGATCTTCCTCATGATGTTCAGTGAGGTAAACCTGCAGCTGCTTCAAGGAGATCCATTTTGAAGATAAAACCTATTAAAGAATTAATAAAACAGTTCAAATCCCCTCTCATTTCTATACTGAATCTATTATTGTACATGTTTATTAAACATCATAAAACCTCACAGAATCAATTGTCAACAGACTGCCATGGAAATTCAATTTGTTTATATACCGTATGACTGCATATTTCTAAGTCCAGTTACAATTTACTTTTTTTTTCCAGTTGAAACAATGCTGTTTTAATGAAAAACTATGAGCAATTGATGCAATAAATTTTGTTCTTCTTATTAAATAATTCCAACATGTCAGTCATATTCTACAGTTAAAAAGGCTTATTATTTGGAATTAACACACTTAATGTGATGTTATCAACTTTAGAGGTTGTTCTATGTTGTCATTAACAGAACCTCTGCTCGTATTTGCAAAAGCAGCCAATAGTATTAGATCTCGGTGATTTTCTATCATCTACCTAAAGTCTGTCAAATTATCAATTATACCAGCATCTCTGAAATGTTAAGTTTTCACAACATAAAATTCTACAATTATTCTCATGAAGAATTCCAAAGAATTCGTGTTCAGTATGTAATGCTTATCCCTGAGTAAGAAGGGTTAACACTGATATGTTGGAATCCAGAAAATTCTCATCTGGTCTCATCAAAATTGAGGTACTTATCTCAAACTCAAATTGGTGCAAATGAATATTTGATAAGGTTGATAAGTAGCGACTCCTGCGAGGAAAGGATGACTTCTCTGTATAGACAGGCAGCGTCCACACAGCCATGCTACATACTCCCAACAACCTCACTACTCACTATATTAATATTTACTTTTTTCCTTCCGCTAATGTGCTTCAATGTAGAGTCGTTTATTTTTATTGCATGCAGTCGTAGAAATTTTATGGGTTACCCCATGTAAAGCATAAATGGTATTTGCAATAAAAATAAAGCTTTGCTCAGTAGTTCGGATAGATATGTCTGCCATTCAAGTGTTCATCTTGACTTGGAAATAGTTTCATGTTCATGATAATTTCCAAATGAGTTTTGAAAAAGATTTTAATGATCATTGTAAAATAAAAAGTTGTTGGAGCTTTTAATTTTTCTATGATTAAATCTTTGTGGTTCCAGGCTGGTACAGAAAGCAATTGAGATTATTGCTCTGCAAATGTGATTATCAGTGATTGTATTTCACAGTTTGAAATAATTTATTTTTGTTTCTTTTTTTATACTTGTTTCAATATATTTATCATTATCATTTACAATAAACTTAAATCAGATGTTGAAACTAGAAATATTCATTTGAAACTTTACAATACAATTTTTTTATCAAAGCGTTTAATACGCATTAAATACCAAGCAAGATCAGTGTGATTTCTGATTTTCCAACCAAATATTTTGGGGTCAGTCATAATATTACTGTAATCGGCATCGTATCTCAAGGGCATGGAGTGCAAATTACTGATTTTGTTTTCTTGAAAAAATATCTATGGCCGATTAGGCGCCGTACAGCCAGAAGTGTAGTTTGCCGACAATAAAATTACTGCGAACAGCCTGTAGCATTGACCAAGAGAAGTTTCGTTTCTGGTCCACTGCACAGTAAAGCCGTGTCATTATTGTAGGTTTTTTCAATTCATATACGATGATTATGAAGCAATGAGAGAGATGTGGAATGCGATGATGAAGTGAAATTTGAGCATGGCATGTGTTTGTTTTTTGTATGGGTGGCGAAGATTCCTACAGTCAAGTGTTAAAATAATGCAGAATAAGAAATAATGTTATTTTCTCCTCAGACAGAATACATATATAATAACAGCACTTCATTTGTTCTTCATGATTCTATTTTCATCATTTAAAAAAGAACTTGTCATAGTAAATGTTAACTATACCCTAAAGTGTCTTTTTGTTAATTATCAAGAAAATATGAAATATATTTAAACAACACACTGCCTTTTTAAAAACCTTTCTAAATTTTACTTTAAAATAAAACAATTCTGTAGAAGTTTTGTACCCATTTTGTTAAAAAAAATATCTTACTCAACTTTATTTCATGCCAGATTTAATTTACCCAGATCCTCCATATTTGTAAACTGTTAATTGTTCCCATTTCAGACAACAAACCTCTGAACCTTCACATTAATGGACACACGAAGGACATTAGCAACAGGTTCTCCAATGGCAAGAGTGATGAGGATGAAGATGATGACGACAGGCTATCTGACGAAAGAGATGATGGTATGTATCACTTAATTTTTTATCAAGTGACAGTTGTCAGAAAAATATCTTATAATACAGAATACATTGTTATGTCTTTATCTTTTTTTTTTCACATATTATTGCGTTCTAAGTTTTCTGATCAAATACTGATTAGTAATATTATTGAACCCTTTTAATCCTCACAAATTGATCATATTCAATTTAGGAAGTAGAATTTTTGTAATAAATGTATTAGAAACTAGTGATATTTTGACTTGATCTTAACAAATCAGAAAATTGGAAATTATAATTGGAAATCAGAGATCCATAATTCAGACAGGGGGAAAAATAGTTATAAGTTTATCCAGTCTTAACCATTAATATGTCAAACATTTCCAAAAAAATTCATGAAAAACCATATTCAATATATCTCCTTAGAAACAACAGGTCCCGTACTTAATTGTGCCAGTGTTGTGATGATGAAGTCGTTGGGAAATCAACAGACAATTTCCATTACTTTGTCTCTTTCTGTCTCCCTCTGTCTCCCTTTTGTTATGTCAATCAGGCAGATTAGATATCGTAGTGTGTTTGAAATGGTCATTACCGCCCACTACCCAAGAGATTTGCAACATTAGTTATCTCCCTTGGCAAGTCCTCCTGTAGATGGCATATATATACAAACATATACTTACAATTTTTACAGTAATCTCTGATTTTCGTTAAGGATATAAACTTTTGAGACAAGGAGAATGCACTAGCATCAACCTGGAGCTGGCATGTTCTATGATCTCAGTTTCTTATAAATAAACTATAAGGACAACTGCTTTTCTGATTAAAGCACCAAACACAAGTCTTCTCCTTATTACAAATTTTATTGAAAAAGGAAAATTAAGCATTTCATTTCTCTGTGGTTAGTAGTGTAGTAGCACAGTGGGACAGACTTGTAATGGGCACCCAGATTAGTCCCTATATCAGTTCAGCACATCTGGCAGTTTATGTGTACCAGCTTGAAAAAGCTCCTGCTCTGTCATAAGTTGTAATTGTCGTCAATTTGTAACTTAATTTTCATGGCTGATGTTGTTTTCTTTGATTAAAGATGGCCAGGTTGTTTGCCTTTGTACTTCTTTAGTTTTAATGTCCGCTATGTTATTCCATGTTCCTGTTTTAGTCCACACTCCAAACTCCAGGCATGGTGATTGAAGTCTAGTTTGGTTATTTTCATTACTCTTCCATTATTTTCTTTATGACTAATAAGCTGGAATCATTTTCATGTTGAGTATTAAATAATCATGATCTGAAATTCAGTTCTGTTCTTGGAGAGAATTAATATCTGAATCAGTCAGTGTTAATTATATTGTGAGTCAATTCATCTGGTTCATTAATTTCTATATGAAATTAGTAGGATCATTATTAATCAGACTTATGAGTCAAAACATCATTTCTACCTCAACAGGTTTATTAATTACAAATCAATTATAGATTATGAGTTTCAATATCTTGTTTGATACTGTCAGTTCAGACTGTTCTGTTGATGTTGATTAATATTGTTATATGTTATGAATATAACACATACCCTTGGTTGTATGTAAAACATGTTACATTAGCATATTGACATCAACACATTTCCTTGAAAATCTATATCTGGAAACCAAATGTTCATTACAGTAAGAGAAAAAAGAATTAAAAGTGAAAAGCAAAACTAATTTAAATAGTTTGTTGAAAGAGAGAGTTGGATACTTATTTATCAATCAGCTGATAATTGAAAAACAGGGTGATTTTATATAAGTACAAATATTTTCTTGCTGAAAATAAAAAAAAATCATTATATAGATATTAATCATTTGATTAATTTTTTTATTGTTCGGCAATTATCTTGTTATTTGCTGTCTGTTGTATGAACTGAGATTTTTATTTTGTACAGACTGTAAAGATAGCAATATCATGGAAATACTAGTAACATGTACTCTACCTTAACAAGACTTAGATGATCAAAGTGCAATATCAAGTCTCTATTCTGGACTCTGTTGAACTAATAAAAAAAGACCTGTCACGTTTAATGTTGCTTTTCCCTTGTCATCAAAAAAGAGCTAATATGAATGAAGATTCTTGTAAATTTGTTAAAACAATGGAAGAATTATTCTGTTAGAGGAGAAAGCATCCTGATGATCTCAGCTGGAAATTCAATTTCAGACGACATTTCTGTGGGACTCTTATAACCGCCTAATGTCCCGAAAATTGTCTCAGCAATGTGACGGCAAATTTGATAATTCCAGATTGGTTGTAATAATGCATTCGGTAATGGGGAGAGAAGCCGCAGGATCCTGGAGAAGTATAAAGATACTGTCCTAGCGGGATGAATAATAAATGTACAATTAATGTATTGTAGTGGCAAACACAATATGACAACTATTTTATGAGCTGCAATTACAACCTTCAGATTTTCTTCTCAGATATTTTTTATTTTTTAGGTCCTAAATTGTTTTTAAAAAAAAGTTTTAAAAAACGTAAATATATTACAGTGAGGATAAAGTGAACATATTCTCATTTTGTCTAGACAAGATATGTTTTTCCTGGATTTTGATTTTACTTTTAAGTCATTGGACGCCAGATCAATATCAGCTTTTTAGAACTTAATTATTTAGTACCATGGAACAGGCAAAGGTATATGTTACCTGTATCAAAGTGGGTTGTTTACCATATTCTTTGGTTTCTGAAAAATCAAACATCTTACTTTGCTTATTATTATGAACTTGATCAGTGATTACAATTCCTCCAGGTAAGCATTTGCTCTGAAAGTTTTGTTTTCAGTAGAAATAAAAAAAAAATGATCTGAAATGTTTGAAGTGTGTCTTTCAGTTGTAGCCTTGGCTAGCCAAAGATTGCTGTAAAGTGTTAATGGCTATGGTTATTAGTCTCAAGTGCTTTCTCGTCTTAGTCTTTTAGATTTTTATTGGAACTCTTTTGTATTCGGAAAGTAGAATATACCTGTTGGCAGGGAGATATGAGGATGATGATTGATCTTGTCTTAGATGGAATACAAGTCCATTAACAAACAAGTACTTTTTTCAATACTCATTAAATTTGTCATTTTTATCCTAGTCAACCAAACGTTAATAACCACTTTATTCCATCCTACTTAAACAGAACTAAAATGGATTCTTTAATCAATATGATCAGGATTGTTCTATTTTGACACTGGGGTTTGAGGTTCGCAATTTTCTATATCTCTACAAAAGATATCTACATAGAAATCTTACTTGTACTTATACCATTTGTTTCAATAATTAATTGTTTGTTGACATCTTGCTTTGTCATTCAACTAATGGTGAATGTTGAGTCTTACATCACAGCATTGTTGGACTAAAAACTTTCCATTGTTGTCTGACAATGAAGGGAGATCAGAGAATTTTAAAAAGGTGGCTGCCAACTTACAAAGTCAATTGTACTTGAATAGTTAAACAGTAAATTGCTGCCTTTGGAATACAGGCATCAGATAAGTACCAGCTGAATTATTAACTATTTCACATAAAAACAAGCTCTCTTGGGTGGTATAATGACTTGGATGAAATATTTTAAGTATAGATCATCATGCCAGTTAATATTTTGTACCCAAGCGCGTCAACCTATCCCATTCATGTCTTTTGTAACAAATATGAAAATTTAATGACTTGGTCTGTTCCGAGTTGAATCTTCATGCCATTTCCTTTCACTTTGCTTTTCCCCCTTTCACGGCTGCCAGGAAGGAAGGTCACTTTGGTAACCATGTTAATTGCTAGAAAGAATTGTAAGACATCTGTAGCAGTATGTATGTATCATATTGTCAATTTAACAGATGTCTGTATTAGTGGTGTATTCCACCTGATGCTGGCCTGATAATTCTCTTACCAAAATTGATGACAGCCATAGTTTATCTCCTGACAACTTGGTGCCAAGAAAATACCAGATAATACAACATTTACAGTTTTCTATGAAATGAAAACTACATGTGTGTAATGTTGGTGAAAACAACAATGAAATGCACCAAACCTGTAAAAATCTGTTTTCTATCTGTTTCTCCTTATTTGAATATCATGCGTATCGCGTACATCAGGAGATGATAACTTCATGCTAACGATACATAAATCCATTATTCTGAAGACCTGCCGAGAAATTATTACGGATTCCTAGTGTCTCAACTCTTGAGGAAACAAATTTTACAGTTTAATATACATTTTATTGCCAGTAGTCTGCATCCAGTCTTTCAAACGTGCATAGGTTTGAATATATTATAAGTGTATTTTGAGTTTAAATTTGTGGTATTTTTATAGGCAAGATAATCACAACCTTCATATCCTAGCGGCGGAGAAGATAGAAAAAATAAACACCAGAACACCACAATATATTTTGAATTGATGTAATGATCCTTGGGGTTAAAGGGCAGCTAATCATTAAGCTGTGCAAGTCAACATTTATCATTTCCATTGATATGTTATAGATTTACTCAATAAATGAGGTGGGGTAATTACAGTGAAAGATTTGCCAGGGTGTTTGGCAGTGGGGGTTTACCCCAGGGTGTAGGGAGTGCCGGAGATGTTTATGGGGGTGGATTTTTATGTCTAGCTCACTTCTTGTTTTAATATAATTTACATCCTCCTAGAAAGATAACCAATAGTTACATCTTATGTCAAGTTTCTTAGCAGATCTGGAATTTATTGCACAGATCTAGGATAAAAATGCATTAACATTAGAATATCTGACTGGATGCTGAGAACTTGGCAATATTTTTTCTTTTTTTCTTTAAATGTTATAGCCCGTCCATTACATTTGATGGCTTTTGAGTATTTTTTATAAAGAATATGAAATGATATTTATTTATGGTGTAACAACCAATTATACGTCCACATTGATATGAAGATAATTTAAATTTGAAAGTCAGCATGGATTGAAATTAACTAGATATCATTTCAGAACTTCAAAGAATTTAAGCCGATTCATTTGGATTAGAGTTTCACAGTGAATACCTAAACCAACATTTACCCGAACAGATGCGTGGTCTGATTAAAAAAAAAAACATTTAAAAGTGTTTAAAAAACAAAATCACATTCATATATAATTTCCTAAATGTTATTCCTCATATCTAGTCAGAGTCTTAGAGTGCTTATATAATAACTGTAAACTCCACATTTAGAAGATTTTAGGGAGACTCTTAATCCTTAATTTACATTAATGTGATTTAAACATTAAGGAAATGATTTTCTGTCTGCAGACTTGGATGACAGCATGGACCCTAGTGAGTCGGGCAACAACAGTGATATTGGGGAAAAGCATACAGCCCCTCCCACCACCTTCCCTACAGAACTCCTCAATGGGGAAACACCCTCCATCTCCTCAATAGAAACCCTCCTCCTCAACATCCAAGGACTCCTCAAGGTTGCAGCAGAAAACGCCCGCCACCATGAAAGGCAGCTTAGCTACGAAAAAGGTATTTATGCTTATGCAGAAAACATACAATAAACACTTGATACCCAATACAGGAAATCAATAACAATATATATATTTGTTGTCTTTATGTAATACTCTCTATCTCTCTATATACATCAACAGTAAAACCTCCAGTTATTCTATTTTCTGTTTTACATTAATACCATCTAAAGTACATTTTTTTTTCTACATACTTGTACAATGTCAAGAAAGTACAGCTTTTATCTGCCAGAGGAGCTTTACGTAATCATTAGAATTCAGTTCCTTCAATTGTGACCATTTCTTGTGTTAATTAAGCTAAGTCAGTTAACCTGTCTTGAAATGCAGTAGGATTTTTATTCACGGTGCCAATGGCATAATCCTTTTAGCTCTGGTTGAATCTTGGTTGGTATATATCATTCTTTGAGGGACACACTGAAATGAATTAGAACTGTACAAATTATATAAAAAAAAAGTAGAATTTTAATTAAATTTACGAAGTCCATGAAAGTCTAAAACAAGTCCAGAAGCTAGAAATACGCATATGCCGTTACAGTATCACTGAAATCATGCTTTCAGTACAAATGGATAATATTAATTTAAATGCATTTTCGAAATTAAGCACAACCATCCATGTAAAGTGCAGAATCATTTTGACATTTTTTAGATCATGAAATGTAATTTCAGATTTTTTTTGTTCTGTCTCTCCATAGTAACAGGATTATAGAAAACTAATTACACTGAATATACCATCTCGTACCAAATCTGCAGATGTGTTTTTAACATTTTCATTTGCTTTAAGGCAAACAATCTCTTCACAGAGACTTTCTTTTCTGTGTGATGTTAAAGTTTTAAGTTTGGTCAATCCCAGAAACATTGTTGATCAGTCAGAAGGCAATCATGTGTTAGTGAGTACATTCATCACTTCATCAGAGAACAAATCTTTAGTAATTATTAAACTTACTACAGTCAAACACGAAATTTAAACATAACAGCATACTTTTTACCTTAAAGGTAGGTTTTATTGTCCCATCAGACCACGTAATGTTACTTCGAGCTCTTAAGTTATGAATAAGTGGCCAATTGGATAGCTATAATTTCCTGAATTTTTGAATTAGTTTCTTAACAAATATTTTTTTATCTGTTCTTTGTTGATCAATTTGCTTGCTACGGTGGTATATTGTATGAATGCCCTCATTCCTTAATTAGATTGCAGTGTGTAGATTGATGAATTACTTACTATGTGAATGCATGTGTAAACTGTATTTCATCTGAAAAGTGCATTTCTCTCTAATGAAATATTTGCCTTATTTTTCGAGAAAAAAAAATACAAAATTCTTGAACCATGTTAATACAAATTAAAATAAGATACTATATTCCTCAAAAATTATGATGCTTCCATTCCAGTTTGATATCACTATGATCTAAACTCTCATTCATGCCATTTTTACACATTTACTACAAGGGAGTCAACTTTTTTTATGAATGGAACATGTTTTTTAACCCAGATTGACCCCATAGCACATGGGAATGATATATTGACAAGTATATATCACTAGGCACTTGAGCAGGCCTTATCACAGGGGGATTGGGTAGCTTACGTAGAGTAGGGCTGCACTTGCATTTCAAACAGGGACAGTATGCCCTGCTTCCACTGACCTTTACTCTTGCTATCAATGTGTGTGTCATAAAATGCATTGAAACAAGATCAGGAATATTTCTTCCTTATGATCCAGAGGTCATTAGTGCAATAATTCCGATTGCGGTTCACGGTTGATTGACTCAGCACTTGCTCACCCACCTATCATTTTCATTCATCCAAATTATGCGACTTTTGTTCAAAACATTTTCAGGTATTATCACTGACTAGGGTATCATGGTGGAATATGAATCAGGTTTCCAATATTTTATTCCCAAGAACATTATGCGCTCTGGTGAAGTCCTAAAAACATGTCTGTATGACTTGTAGACAAATACTCAATAGGGATCATTACGTGTAGTGGTAGCCCTGTTATTTAAACATCCATAATTCACCATTTAGATTTGTCATGGAACAAGATCTAAGAAATCAGAACTAAGTGAGGATTAAATGAATGCGGATTGATATTTCTTGCTTATTCTACCTGTTTGATTCCGCTTCTCTTTAAATATGATTATCTGTTTCGTATGCTGCCAACATCTTGTATAAAATATGGATATTGATCTTCTTAATGGGTAAGAAAGAGCATAGAACAACGAGGTATGTAGGCTGAGAAAGCTGTCATCAAAAGATAGGACATAGTCATATGATAACAGTTTTGATGTTAAAATTACATGTCGCTGGCGCGTCGACCAATATTACCAACAGATGATGTCATTATGGGAGCTGAAGATAAAACTCTAATTTTTCTCTTTCGTACATAGAAAAATCAATACTTATTGATATTGGTTGAATAGAGGAAAAGTCATAAAATCTGGTGTGAACAAGAGAGTCCAATAAAATAGCAAAGTCAATGTTTTATGCTCTCCAAGCACAATGACAGTGTATAGAAAATTAATGCTGAAACAAATGTAAAATATTTTTTAACTGGCCTGCAATTTTAATGAAATTTTCATCTGTTCATTTTTGTGAGTAACGTATTCTGAGGACTGGTAGAGCTGTATCAGTGGACATCAGAACATCTGTAGTTCCCTTTATTGCCTGTAATTACAGGGAGCAGTCAACTAAAAAGAAAAAAAAATATATCCATGTATATACTGTGTACACCTGTACCACCCCTAACTTATCAATCCCAGTAAACCATTGTAAACAACCAAACCATGATGGGAACAGATGAAATCAAACATTTATAAGATGGGTCATATTTCATTAAAATGTTTTGAAGAAAGAATGGGAAACTGCCATCATATAGCTGAATTCTAACAAGGGTTATAATAACAAGGATATTTAATTGACTATGTTACCTCTTATAACCTTTATATATCCTAATACCTCCAGCCACCCGGACCAGATAGTCTGTTTTGATTCTTGATATCCCCCTCAGGTCTCTGCGGGACAGACTTTTGACTTTTGACTAGCTCCCTTGGGTTCGACTAGACCACATCTAAGTCTGTTTTAATTCTGACAAGTCCCTCTAATTTCACCAGGCCTTGTAGACTATTGTGACTCTGACAAGTCTCTCTAGTCTCACCAGGCCTTGTAGACTATTGTGACTCTGACAAGTCCCTCTAGTCTCACCAGGCCTTGTAGACTATTGTGAGTCTGACAAGTCCCTCTAGTCTCACCAGGCCTTGCAGACTATTGTGACTCTGACAAGTCCCCCCATCTCCAGGACAGATAGTCTATTTCGAATTTGACTAGCCCCCATAAAGTCTCAACAGACCAGATAGTGGTCTGTTATGGCTCTGAATAATACCTTTGGGTCACATCTCTCTAAGCCACATTGTTTATTGTGATTTTGACTTGATTCTGACCAGCCCTCTTGAGTCTCACAAAGCCAGGTAGTGATCTATTTTGTCTTTGAATAGCCCCCTGGGGTTTTCTCCAGCCAGATAGTCTATTGTGATTCTAACTAGCCCTCTAAAGTCTCACCAGACCAAAGTCTCTATTTTGACTCTGACAAGCCTCCATGAGTTCCTCCAGGTCAGATTGTCTATTTTTACTTTTACTCGTCCCTTAGTTGGGGTTCTCCTTGACCATATAGTCTATTGCAACTCATTTCTTCCTCAGTCCCATATGTTTACCATTGAGACATCTAAATACAGAATTTCTCTCTTTTCTTTAAAAGAAGAAATACTTAAATGAATTTTAAGGCTGATTGATAAGACAAACATTTACAGTAGCATTATTATGGGTGAAAAACTTATTGATTCACCTGTTTTTTTAAGAAATTCCAATGTAATAGCCCTGATAATGTCACACCAAGGTCACCTAAAATGCCTGTTAACATGGGAGGTGAAGTTACAATGGTTTTGAGTAGATTTAAACATTCGCCCATTCATTTGAATTTTGATCAGTCAGAAAATACCTGTGAGCAGCAACAATTGCTTAACTATTTCTCTGTAAGTTTGGGTAGATGAAGTAAAAGATTGACATTTAATCTGTGTGCATCTATGTCAAAAAACAGATCCATTTATAGAGAATTGTCCAAGCCAATAGCAATTTTTTTAGCCTATGCACAGTAATCGTTGGAATATAACATATTTAGACATGTTATCTTGAAACAATGAATCGCTCAGCTATAAGTAATGTGCCTGATTCTGATCAAACGTGTTATGGTATTTGCTGCAAACCATGTTTCAATCAATTTTGTGCTTCAAGTAATTTGAAAAATATCCGATGCAAGAAAAGTTTTTTTCTAGAATTAATTGTATTATTTCTTGTTCCCAGGGTATGCTTAAAAACAACCAGTCCATTGAAATTTGATGAATATAATAAATCCTTGCAGAAGTTAATACATCAAGGAAGAAATCACTATCGATTAGTACAGTGCAGACTCCCACAGAAGTTTAATAATGTAGATTTTGTATAACTTTTTCTAGGAAATTACAAAATTTAATAATTTACATTTTTTTACTCAGTACTCAAAAGGTTATGTAATAACCTGATGTTTGTGGTGAGCATGACTTTGAATGTGTTCATTATAGCCTTCAACTGATGATATTCCATCCTGCACATTTATCAGTTACATCTGGATATGCTATCCATAAAAAGTAGAAAAAGGAGCATGTAACTTGTCATAAACGATATTTCAAAACGAGCTAAGTCGTCAGACCTACATCAGGTAATCAGTTACCACCTTTAAGAAATTGTACATCTTAGAACGGTTTTGATCGACTTCACCTGTGTAATGAAACAAATAGATACTAATGTATGTCAATAACGTTTTTTTCAAATGTTTCTTATTTTCTGATGAAAGTAATTTGTAATTGATGTTGAGGCCGACCGACAAGGAGAGGTACATATTCAGAAAGATAATTGATTCTTACATGTGTTGGTATTTTATGAGCTGAAGACAGAATAAATCGGATGTACAAAGGAAA